TGTAGTACCTCTGAGTCTGGAGAAGAAGATTTTTGAAATATTGGATAATTTTCCCTTTGGGGCCCCGCCCTGGCCCCAGGGGTTGGGGTAGGAATCCCAATTTTACAATTTTGAAGCCTCATCTACCAAGGATGATTCTGACCAAGTTTGAAAAAAATCCATCCACTGGTTCTTGAGAAGAAGTTGAAAATGTAAAAGTTTATGCACGACGCACGACGGACGACGGACGACTACGGACGAAAAGCGATTGGAATAGGTCACTTGAGCAAAGCTCAGGTGACCTAAAAATAGACGAACAGAGATCTGAAACTTTTAAAATAGACAAACAGAGATTTAAATTTTAAAATAAACAGAGATCTGAAACTTTTGAAATAGACAAACAGAAATCTGAAACTTTTAAAATAGACAAACAGAGATCTGAAACTATTAAAATAGACAAACAGAGATCTGAAACTTTTAAAATGGACAAGCAGAGATCTGAAACTTTTAAAATAGACAAACAGCTTGGAAACTGTTTCAGCTTACCAACCTTTGCATTGCCTGTTGTATCTTCCTCCGGCACCTCCTCCCCAGCACTTCCAGGGTCAGATGTTGTTGACAATAGGCGTTTCAACTGTGGTCCATGACCTGCTGGCTTTTTGACATCAGTGTAGGCGGCAATGATCTCCTCCACTGTAACACGGTGTTATGTGATTACAAACTAATAGGCTGTTGAGTCATTCTTATGATGATAACAGTTATGTAAAAGTGAACTGAAAAAGATATAAGGTAGTCAATCTTCAATAAAACAGATTTATTCAGAACATTTCAGCATATCCTCACCCTTGTCATATAGATCCCAGCCTAACTACCCACCAGTCTAACTACCCATAGTTAAAGAAATACTCAAGTGTTGCTTTGTATTATTACAGCCTATACTGCATACTTGATGACTAAACAATGATTTAAACGAATTCATTTTACCCTTCCTTTTCACTAATTTCAGGACATTTCAATAAAAGCCTTCCTTTGATCTCAAGGTAACTGTGCATACAATTGATTTTATTTCCACTAAAAAAACGTCATATCATTTTTCAACAATTTCAACAAGGAGATGCCCCTTCCCCTCAACAATCACATATTATTTTACCTATAGTAACTTAAATTACTTTGAAAGTGGAAGATTTCATCTGTGGAAAAGTTTGTGTTATGACTCTTTAAACAGATTACAGTAGGGAAATGTTCATGTTGGCAATGATGTAGAAATCCATTATCTATAAATATATATTCGTGTATGGAAAAATGCAAATATTTCCACACCGCAAAAATTTCCACTTTCACAGTATAACAGACCAAAAGTGAAGTTGAAAATGTTCCTGATATTTGTTTTTGTTTAAAACCACATAAACTACTGTACCTTCGTCCCCTAGCAAATCCAAACATCCACAGTAAGTATGAAATGAGAGAAAATTGTGATAAAGTGGGTTAGTATACAGAAAAGAATAAAGCTAAGGAAACCTGTCTAATCTGACATCCTGTGGGATCAGACACATTGCTTGGATTAACCAGCATGTTTGAAGTGTCCATACAACAATTTTAACAGGTAGTTATAGAAGAAATGGGATTACAGGTATACAAGGAATATGACTGGATGTCAGATAGAACAGGTTTCTCTGTTCACACACCCATGGTATGAGATTAGCATAATACACACATGCATACATACAGTAAAACATCATTCTACAAAAAAACACTTTTGGATCCAAGAAATTGTTAATTTTAAAAAAAAATGCAAATAATTTGATGACAGTTTTTGTTTTCAGATGCATAGTTCTGTTAATTATCAGTGGGTTTTCATTGTTAGTTATGGTATATACAAATTTGCGATCAATTTTATGACAAAATTTGTGGACACAAATATGTTTTCATTAATAGGGAGATTTGGTCATAAATGTTAAAAAGTAATAAATCATGTCCATGTTTTACTGTACAAATGTATGTAAAATAACGAAGACATATTCACAAGGCCTTTCACTCCTCTAAGAGCAGGTGAATACACGAGAACAGAATAGCTACCAGTACTACGCTACAGGTAATCTTATCCACCAACTTGCAAGAAAGCAATGATACTCATCAAATGATTGTCCATGTGGTGGTTCTTATCTATCATCAGCCTAAACCAGGGTAGTTAAGTAAGATTGTATGTTCCACTTGCACAAAGAGTTTACTTCATACAAGAATTGAATGATTTATTTTCTTCCTTTTTCTTATAGTCATTAACTCATTCACCCCTGAAGACACATTTGAACTCTTCCAATTCAAAGGTTGGAGTAGTTCATTGTGAAAAACCAGGGGTGAATGAGTTTACATATTTAGTAATTTTTGCAAATTTTCTTTCGTGGTGAAACCACAAGGCCAAATCTAACAAGAGGCCCTAAGGCCTTAAATTGTTTGCCTGACCATTTTGGAAAATAAACAATAAAAATCTGCCAAGTAGTATGTGAGAATAGTCCCTGAGAATATTAGCCACTTAATCTGTTATGCTTCCGATACCCATGGACTAAGGATGGTATTGCAATCCCCATGTTTTGAGAAGATATGATGTTAAAAGAATATTTTTGATTCAACCTCTTTTGACCCTGTCCTTCAGCCCCAATGAGGGTCAGCTCCTTAATTTGGGAAAAATAAATTATTAATGCAAAAGTTGATGGCCAACAGATAGCAAATGATGGACGAAGTACAACTTAATCGGCTCATTTCAATAATTTGTACCAAAATAGCGAAAATTATGTCTAAAAATTGCGTAAAGTGACCTATTCTGGGCAAAATGTTTTAATGCAAATTTTCGGTTTCAGCTCTATGCAATGAATTCATTAAATCTGTAAAATGTAAGTAAAATACCTGTAATACACAGCCATCTACTGAGAATCTATGACGGTCAAGATTCTGATTCAATATATACCTGGTTCATTTGTTTTATCTGAACTTTTTAACTTATGGAAATTATTCTTTTACAGCATTATCAACATTTACTGTACATCAGTACAGAACACTTGAACGAAGTTTTAGTTTTACCTGTTGATCCAGCTAGTCATCCATAGAAAGCAGCAAATAAAGTAAATAGGTGAAATTTCATTTCAAGTTGGTTGAGTAACAGTTAATATAAACCAAACAGGTAGTTTCATGTTAAATTGATATCTAGTCAGCATAGTAATGTGTCATCAGAATTTGTTAAAGAGTCGGGATTTATATGGAGAGGACTTATATAAGCTTGCCTGTTGTCCAATCCATTTGTTTTCTTAACAATAAAATTTGTTGAAATGAAAATGAAAGAGTCATCACAATTTGTATATGTGTCATTAGAATCTGTGAATGTGTCATCAGATTTGTGAATGTGTCATCAGAATCATTATAATTTGTGAATGTGTCATCAGAATCTGTGAATGTGTCATCAGATTTGTGAACATGTCATCAGAATCATCAGAATCTGTGAATGTGTCATCAGAATCATTATAATTTGTGAATGTGTCATCAGAATCACAAGAACTTGTGAAAGTATCATTGTTATCGTGTGAATCAGAATTTGTAGAAAAACAAGAAAACCAAAAGAGCAAGAAATATCAGTGACCAAGTTTGCTAGTGTTAAATAAGGGTGATTAGATATACAAACTTGGTGGTGTGAAAGCAAAATGGTGACAAAATTCTAAGCTTTATTATAATATATCGCATTATCTAGGCCCTAGATACAATGAAAAATCTCCACATCATCCACAGTTATCCCGTCACCTCTGATATTAGTTCATAACAGTAAAACCTTGTTTAAGTCTGTAACTTTTTTACTTGAAACGAAATTGCTTTAATTTTGAGGTAAATTTCTGCTAATAACCTGTTAAAGACTATGGTGGAAACATAATTATCTTGATATTAAAACAAGGTTTTACAGCGTACTACCAACTATAGTACCTGAGCATTCTAGCTGTTTCACGTAAAAAATTACATTATCCTATCATATTTACCTTCTTCATCCCTATCCTTGGTCTGAAAAACAAATAATTTATAAAAATGTCATTACGATTCATCAAACAGACAAGTGGTAGTATATATCATGTTAATAGTCCAACACCTTTGACAAAAAGAGAACTGAACTATTTCACTCTCATTTCCCATTAGAATTTCAAATGGTATTGATTAAAATAGATAATTTTATGTTACTGATGTAAAATAAATGGATACAATGTACTTCCAACATCCCTTATTCGTAACGTGATTTCAGGCTGCTTCCCCTTACAAAGACAAGGGAGATAACTCTGACAGTTAACAAGCCATTCGGATTAATATGTCTTGCCTAAGCCCCGCTTTGACTATCAATGCACATATCAGAGAAAATAACAGCAACGCAAAAACTTAATGTTGATGGAGATGCTGACGAAGTCAATGGACTATGAATGGTAGGCCATATCCAGTATTTGATGCATGGGTTGAGATGTACCACCTAAGATACATCAATGGTCCAAGTTTGGTTGGTTTAGCACTAATACTTTCAGAGAAACTAACTTAAATGCAAACTAGAAATATGTCAGAATGACATGAAAGTCACCCCATCATTCTGTATGATCTTTTTCCGATAAATCATTGACCAAGCTACAACGGATATATTTCCACCTGTCAATCAAAATATATAACAATTACCAGGTGTAAATACATACATGCTGTTCAGGTAGCCATGGCAACACAGGGAATTAATAGGAAAGCATGTCGCAAATATAACGTTAGCGTTGACCGACACCTCGAATACGGGGAGATCTGCGCGGCGACACGCGTACGGTCACCTGGCATGGGCAGAATAGGTAATTGGAATATATCGATGTTGTTTTCACAACAATAAGTTTCAGAAAAGATTCAATCTTATATACCGATAAATCTTCTACTATTTTTTGTTATGAAATACACTTTTCCAAGTAGTTTTCTGTTCGTCTGCAAATCCGACTGAATCGGTCATCGATATTGGCAGAATGTGTACTGTACGTTTAAAGGCAGTCACTCCGACGAGGACCGCCAACAGCAGAATTCGCAAGACATGAAGAACATCAAACAATTGTGATATCAGCAATTCTCCTTCGTAAAGAAAAGATCGGAATGTAGTTGGCTGTTTTGAACCCGTTGATATTTAATTTTCAAACTCAAACTTTTATCATTATCGGTTCAATTCGCATGGATGTCACTTTGTAAATTCCTGCCGGTTAATAGTATCACGCAACTTTGACTCTTTGCGCTACACAAACTTGCTAACTTCGCCACTTTACCCATGTCGTTTTGACACATTCCTACGGACAATTGAAGAGTTCAGCAAGATTTTACTCAAGAACGACATTTTAACCACAGAGTAATAAATCCGATGCAATTCTTCGTTATGTTTCCCGATACGTGGTATTTATCAATTCACAACGTAACGTCCTGAAAAGTTGAGCCTACTTTACTAGAGTTTATTTATCCGATTCTATAGTATTATATGACTTAAACTTGCAACTTTTCGTAATTGTTAAATTGGCAATGCAATCAGGAATTATTCAACGAAATTTAGCAGTTGTATTGCTTTTAGCATATATCAAAACATTTCCGAAAATCCTCGAAAAATTTACGAGAAATGGTCGCGACCAAGGACTGGTTTTGGATTGTTCTTGAGTATCGTGTACACCCCTTTCTTGACACTTCATTTTCCCCTTAAAAGTGCGCACTATACGCAAATATTAACGGTAGTCGTTGGTCAGACATAAAACATCTAAAACAGTCAATAGCAATTTATAATACGACAGTTTACCCCTTCGGGAACCTCAAAGGTGCCTGATTCATACTCGGAACATCTTTAGGTTATATGTAATCCGTGGGGAATTTGGGTTTTATCCTATTCCTGTTTAAAAAGGAAATCGAAATCTGAGTTATCCAAGAGCTTGTTATTAGCGCCTGATATATTCCGACAGAAGCAAGATACACAACAGCCCTCCTAACAGAGGTCAAAATCTGGGACTGAAACCAAAATTAATAGTCCCCACTGGGGTTCCCCCAGAGGTGACTAAAAACTTAATGTTGACGCAGTCGCCGGAAAAGCAACACCGAAGTCTCACTTCCACATTGTGGCGGCGAGATTCTTTTTTTAATTTTTTCAAAAAGAACCATGATTCAATAAAAGTGATGTTATATTACTACAGTCATAGTTTTTTCGTCTTAAATCCTCCTCACTGATCATCCCAATCTCACCTGTAGAGTTACCAGTGTCTTGTACACGCCTCCTTGAGCCATCAGTTGGTCGTGAGTTCCCCTTTCTACAATCTCCCCATCCTTAAACCCAGCAATAGAATCGGCGGTCTTGATGGTGGACAGTCTGTGAGCGATCACAATGGTAGTTCTGCCTGCCCTTGCCTTAAAGTAAATAGAGATTAGCAATGCAAAGTTTCCATGTCACTCATTCAATTCAAAGTCTACTTAAAAGCCTGCTTTTAACTTTCAAAATCAGATTGATTTCAAGGACTATATTCTGCAACCATTAACTGAAATAGTAAACTACAAGTTAATGTTAATTATAGAAATGGAGTGAGCTCACAATGATATACCCCTGATTCATCTTATTTATGCATTCAAACCTTGTTTGCAGGGGGGTATAATACCCCTACCCTACATACAATGTACTAGTTGCGCTTATGAAGCTCATGGACAGACATATGAACAGACAGATGTATAGACAGGGTGATTCCTATACCCCCCCCCCCCCCCTTCCCACAAACTTAATGTTAAATTTAAGAATATTAAATTCAAGATGCTATGTTTGATAAAAGCCTGATTATCTCAACGATATCTTAATGCCAATTTTAAATCTAGTAACCATGGTAAAAATTGAAATTCATAACTAAAACTGAATGTCTAGGGACAAATACTGATCATCATCAATGCTATATACGTACTTAAAAGGCAATGCTGAAGTGATAAATCTTTCAAGAATCACAGGAGTAGTTTGTAAAGCAGCATATATCCTTTTTGTAATGGATAGTCTCTGCTAAATTTTAAACTTTGACATTACTTTCATAATATGACACAGAACGACTTAAGTTGTCGTCAATCTTGACCTATGACCTTGACCTTGACCTACTGATCTTACCAAGGGCCTTGTGTTTAGTTATCTCACCAATCAATGTCTAAGACTTACCTTAGGCCTATAACAATGACTTTCTAACCTTATCAAGGGCCTCCTGTAAGTTAGTCTCACTATAAGTACCAAAGACAAGCCTTTGACTTCAGTGTATGCCAATGACTTTCTAACCTGATCAAGGGTTTCCTGTAAGTTAGTCTCCCTATAAGGAGCAAAGACTAACCTTTGAATTCAGTGTTTGACAATGAATTTCTAACCTTATCAAGGGTTTAGTCTCCCTATAAGTTCCAAAGACTAACCTTTGACCTCAGTGTATGACAATGATCTTCTAACCTTATCAAGGGTTTAGTCTCCCGATACGTACCAAAGACTAACATTTGACTTCAGTGTATGACAATGATCTTCTAACCTTATCAAGGGTCTCCTGGAAGTTAGTCTCCCTATAATTAGCAAAGACTAACCTTTGACCTCAGTGTATGACAATGACCTTCTACCCTTATCAAGGGTCTCCTGGAATTTAGTCTCCCTATAAGTAGCAAAGACTAACCGTTGACTTCAGTGTTTGACAATGAATTTCTAACCTTATCAAGGGTCTCCTGGAAGTTAGTCTCCCTATAAGTTCCAAAGACTAACCTTTGACTTCATTGTATGACAATGACTTTTTAACCTTATCAAGGGCCTCCTGTAAGTTACTCTCCCTATAAGTACATGTACCAAAGACTAACCTTTGAATTCAGTGTTTGACAATGAATTTCTAACCTTATCAAGGGTTTAGTCTCCCGATACGTACCAAAGACTAACATTTGACTTCAGTGTATGACAATGATCTTCTAACCTTATCAAGGGTTTAGTCTCCCTATAAGTAGCAAAGACTAACCGTTGACTTCAGTGTTTGACAATGAATTTCTAACCTTATCAAGGGTCTCCTGGAATTTAGTCTCCCTATAAGTAGCAAAGACTAACCGTTGACTTCAGTGTTTGACAATGAATTTCTAACCTTATCAAGGGACTCCTGTAAGTTAGTCTTCCTATAAGTACCAAAAACTAACCTTTGACTTCAGTATATGACAATGACTTTCTATCCTTATCAAGGGATTAGTCTCCCTATACGTACCAAATACTAACCTTTGACTTCAGTATATGACATTGACCTTCTAACCTTAACAAGGGTCTCCTGTAAGTTAGGCTCCCTATAAGGACCAAAGACTAACCTTTGAATTCAGTGTTTGACAATGACTTTCTAACCTGATCAAGGGTTTCCTGTAAGTTAGTCTCACTATAAGTACCAAAGACTAACGTTTGACTTCAGTGTATGACATTGAACTTCTAACCTTATCAAGGGTCTCCTGTAAGTTAGGCTCCCTATAAGTAGCAAAGACTAACCTTTGACCTCAGTGTATGACAATGACCTTCTACCCTTATCAAGGGTCTCCTGGAAGTTAGTCTACCTATAAGTAGCAAAGACTAACCGTTGACTTCAGTGTTTGACAATGACTTTCTAACCTGATCAAGGGTTTCCTGTAAGTTAGTCTCACTATAAGTACCAAAGACTAAACTTTGACTTCAGTGTTTGACAATGAATTTCTAACCTTATCAAGGGCCTCCTGTACAACAGCCTCACTCTCTGTGTCGAGGGCCGACGTGGCCTCGTCCAGTAGGAGGATACGTGGATCTCTGACCAGGGCACGAGCAATGGCTACTCTCTGTTTCTGACCACCGCTCAGCTGGGCTCCTCGCTCCCCGACCAGTGTTTCATATTTCTGTATGTCATGTGAAACACTTTTGTCACATTTTAGTACACTACATAGCTCATCAGTCTACCATATTTCTGTAGGTCATGTGAAACACTTTTGTCACATTTTACTACACTACATAGCTCATCAGTCTACCATATTTCTGTAAGTCATGTGAAACACTTTTGTCACATTTTAGCACACTACATAGCTCATCAGTCTACCATATTTCTGCATGTCATGTGAAACACTTTTGTCACATTTTAGTACACTCATAGCTCATCAGTCTACCATATTTCTGTGTGCTACAGTGGATATTTGTAAGTACATTCTACATGTTTATCACCTACTATAGATTTCTTATCCTTACTACATACACTTGGTTTTGTAAGTTCACTTTTCCAGAGGTCATTTTCACCAGAGACCTTCATTTCTATTTCAGATTAGTAATTTTTATTGTAGAGTAGTGATGTTTATCTTTCTTACATCAGAGACCAATTTTACACCAAGGAAGGTTTTGATCAGAGAAGCAATTCTTATTCAGGAAGGATCTTTTTCATCCGTAAGGTCACTCACATACCAGAGAAGTGATTTATACATGGAAGAAGGCCATTTTACTTCAGGAAGGTCATTTCGTATCATGAAAGTTGTTCTATATCACAGATATTTTTTTTTATATCAGGTAGGCCAATTTTACATACAGAGTGTCAATTTTGTATCAAAGCCGAGGTTCTTACGTCAGGAAGGAGGCTGATAAAGTCGTGAGCATTAGCCATCTGAGCAGCCTGTGTGATCTCATCATCCGTTACATTTTCACGTCCATATCGTATGTTTTCTGCAATGGTTGTGGCAAAGAGGACTGGTTCCTGGCTCACAATTCCGATGTGTTGTCGAAGTGAAGTCACGTTTATTTCACAAATATCTGTGCCATCTATCAAGATCTGTTGATAAAAAATTCAGATAATGCTTTTACTTGTTACTTCTTGACACTTTATAATGGGAAATATTCGCTCCAGTTCAATTTTTGCCTTTTTCACTCTCCCTAATGAAGGTAAATTTAAAATAACAGCGAATATTTGTAGCAGAATATACATAGAAACTAAATGAAAAGGGCCAATTCAATATTGGGCGAAAATGTATTTTAACGTCAAAGGGCAAATATTTAGCACTAGATTGTATACAAACCTACTGTCAGAAATAAGTATTAAAATGCAATATACTAAATCTATCAAAGATAGTGTTAGATTATTATAGATAGTATTACATGTATGAGAGGAACAAGTCAGACTGTTTGACCTGGTGATACAGACCTGCCCTTCCCGAGGGTCGTAGAAGCGCTGTAACAGCTGGACCATGGTACTCTTGCCACATCCACTAGACCCCACCAAGGCTACAGTCTGACCATTAGCCACATGTAGGGAAACGCCCTTCAGGACCTTCAAACAAATCAAAATCTTCATAATTCACCTTTGCAAGAGCACATATTTGTTTATTTATTGAACAGAAACATAAATCTGTGAGTTTTACAATCATTTTAAGGGAATTAAGGTTAAAATAAGGGCTGGTTTATTTGAGGCAATTTTCACGGCAAAACCCTATCTTATTCTACTAAATTAATGCAATTAAGTACAAAATCATTAAGCAAGGATCTTTGTTTTTACTTTGGCAGAGTTTTTTTGTATGTATTGAATATGATTATAATTATATATAGCAGTACAAAGTTTACAGAACAAAGTATCACATAGTTAATCGAGATAAACTGCAGAAGCAGATTTTGTTTTTAAATCAATGTTTAGTTAGACAGATCATTATTCACAGCAGCCACTGTACTACTGGTGTTCAAGTTAAGAGACATTAACTTTGAACTGCGAGTTTTGATGAGTTTGTAAGGATAACAGTTGTCTCTGTTCATTTACATTTGAACTTCTGGGCATTGTTATAGAATCTGGAAACATGCATTGAACAATTGAGGACAGAAATAATCAGCTTTGAAAGTAAAGCAAACTGTGTTCTGGATTTGAACTTTTTAAATTCAATATTTCAGCATTTAGATCAAAGACTTTTTCCATCTTCTTTGACATGCCCCTGACCACCCATTGTCTATACCTTCGTAGTGATCTTATATTTGTAAAGTAACACGCAGCTGGACATCATATTTATCAAAGTGTCTAGCAATAAATTAACATTACATGACAGAAACAAGGTTACCGCGAGCGGTATATAATACGCCCGTCACACATTGAATGAGCAGTTGTTTGTATGATTGAAATATATGAAGTATTTGTGAGTAATTGATATTAAAAGAGAAATCATTCAACATAACTGGTAGATCAATGAGTGCAATACAACATCATGGAACGCATGCATCGCATTAATGAAACCAAGGGTAATAACTCCAGTAATTACGGTCGGATAATGGCGGTTATCAAACTTGTCCGTGGTTTCATGGTAATTAACCTTGTTGTGAAGTTTGAAGTTAATCCGTTAATAATTACTCGAGATATCGAGCGGACACTGTTTCGGCAAGTCCATAAAGGGGCATAACTCCACAAATTATGGTCGGATAATGGCGGTTATCGAACTTGTCCGAGGTTTCATGGTAATTAACCTTGTTGTGAAGTTTGAAGTTAATCCGTTAATAATTACTCGAGATATCGAGCGGACACTGTTTCGGCAAGTCCATAAAGGGGCATAACTCCACAAATTATGGTCGGATAATGGCGGTTATCGAACTTGTCCGAGGTTTCATGGTAATTAACCTTGTTGTGAAGTTTGAAGTTAATCCGTTAATAATTACTCGAGATATCGAGCGGACACTGTTTCGGCAAGTCCATAAAGGGGCATAACTCCACAAATTATGGTCGGATAATGGCGGTTATCGAACTTGTCCGAGGTTTCATGGTAATTAACCTTGTTGTGAAGTTTGAAGTTAATCTGTTAATAATTACTCGAGATATCGAGCGGACACTGTTTCGGCAAGTAAAGGGGCATAACTCAAGAAATTATGGTCGGATAATGGCGGTTATCGAACCTGTCCGAGGTTTCATGGTAATTAACCTTGTTGGGAAGTTTGAAGTTAATCCGTTAATAATTACTCGAGATATCGAGCGGACATCGTTTGCCCGCCCGTCCGCCCGCTCACGTGATAACATAATACGTCCCCGTCTTCGACGGACGTATAAAAATGCATTGTGCTAATTCTATTGACTTCACGATAAAATTTTGATGCTGAAACCGACACCGTCGTGCAGTGGCTAAGACTAAGAGTGTCAGGCATTCTGTAGTATCACGGAATTGAATGGCAACAATAGGAAAGGATCAAACTCAATATATTATATGAATATATTTCTATTGTTCAAACAGATTGATTATTGTAAAAGACACCGAAATAAACTCACAATTTCACTGACACCAGCTAAATTTTCCAGAAGTTATCGAAAGAGCTCTTGCATACGAATCCATCACATGACCATCACATGACTGCTACTCGAGAGCTCTCGTGATTTATCATTGAAAACATTGTGGAAACTTTGAGTAAACAACAACGGGAAAATGGTTACCAATCAATCGTTAAAAAACATGAGGTTTTGAAGACTTTCCGTAAATTCATGTCCCATGTCGTGAGACTTTATCGTAATGAAAAACAGCGAGATTTTGTCTCCCGCTGTAAAATCTGGCATGCATGCAGAAATGTTTCTCAAAGTTTCAGGTAAAATATTTCTTATCATGTTAACTACGGTGAACTACATTGAAAACTAGATTGTTATGTGCCATGTTCACATCCTTTCGATAATTCCATCTACAGAAGAATCCAAAGGATTGCAAGGCAATCCAAAGTCCCCCACCGGTAATGATTTCTATATTTAACATAGATTTACCATAGTCCCCCAACAGTAATGATTTCTATATTTAACATAGATTTACAATAGTCCCCCAACAGTAATGATTTCTATATTTAACATAGATTTACCATAGTCCCCCACCGGTAATGATTTCTATATTTAACATAGATTTACCATAGTCCCCCAACAGTAATGATTTCTATATTTAACATAGATTTACAATAGTCCCCCAACAGTAATGATTTCTATATTTAACATAGATTTACCATAGTCCCCCACCGGTAATGATTTCTATATTTAACATAGATTTACCATAGTCCCCCAACAGTAATGATTTCTATATTTAACATAGATTTACCATAGTCCCCCACCAGTAATGATTTCTATATTTAACATAGATTTACCATAGTCCCCCAACAGTAATGATTTCTATATTTAACATAGATTTACCATAGTCCCCCACCGGTAATGATTTCTATATTTAACAAACAGTACACTTATGTTAGGAAGCACAGATCACAGTGAGGTCATTGTGACCTACTTCTTTCACTCCACCATCCCAAGATGCTCCAGGTGAAATAGTACAGAAGATATGCTAAGACAAACATTTTCAAAAGTAAAGGTCAAAGGTCAAGTCATACGTCCCAGTGACCTTCTTCTTGCACTTAGCACTCCGCTATCCCAAGATGTCCTTATACACCAAATCGGATTATATTACTCAAGGTGAAGTTGTATATATCCAGGACAAACGTTTTCAAAAGTTAAGGTCAAAGGACAAAGCATAGGTCACAGTGAGGTCACAGAGAGGTCATACTGATCTTCTTGTATTCTGCACTTCGCCATCCAAAGATGTCCTTGTACACCATAATTAGTTACCCGAGTTGAAATAATACACAAGATGCATTCTGGGGAGCAGTGGGGGACTAATAACCCTCTTAGGTACTGAGACCCTGATTCACAAGGGTATGCTGAGACATTTACTTCCAATTTTCTTCATTTATTTATTTCTTAAGCCAAACTTCTCAACTTGCAGTACTTACCTCAACCTCTTTTCGAGCTGGGTAGGTGAAGCGAACTCCCTGGAAGTCCACATTGCCCTTGATACTGTCAAGTTTCTTCCCCTTTTTGGATTGGCTGTCAATGTCTGGTTTCTGTAAATTAACCCATACTTTTGTGTCTAAACAACTGATTACAGTGTGCACTATGCATACTACAGAACTTCCATTTCCAAAGGAATATCAGGTATTAAAGCTTTACATATGATTTGTTGTTGCTACAGTGATTCGTTTGGTGGGATACATGCCGTCTGACAGATTGTCTGTATCTTTATACCTCATGTAATTACATATCTGACCAAGTTGAATTGATCAGATGTTTTAATAGTTTAAAATGTAAGGTTTTAGTTACATATCTCTTACAAGTTGGATGTCAATCTTTTAAGTAAAGCTTATTATCATATAACAAGAAGCCCAGAGGGCCTGTATCGCTCACCTGGAAATTTTAGCAGTCATAGCAAATTATTCTCATTAAATATTATACTGTACTACAAATATTTCAATCGCAAACTTTGTCAGCTCAATCCGTTGAAGCTACCAGCCAAATATTATTATATGATTCTATGCTTTTCAGAAGAATTTGTTTGAAGTGTTTGACATATTTTTCCCTGTGACCTTGTAAGTAGCTGGAGGTCATTTTCCTTCTCAAACTTTGTTGGCTCTATCCCAAGCAGCTACCAGCCGAATCTTATGAAACCATGGGTTTTAGTTCTTCAAAACAAGTTGCTTGAAGTTTTGTTGACCCATATGACCTTGAAAGTAAGTCAAGGTCATTTTCGTTCACAAACAATGTCGGGCTCCACCAAAAGAAGCTACCAGCCAAATATTAAGATTCTACACCTTTCAGTTCTTCAGAAGAAATTGTTTAAAGTGTTTGACACATTGGACCCCTGTGACCTTGAAAGAAGGTCAAGGCCATTTTCATTCTCAAACTTTGTCAGGTTCTTATGAATGAAGCTTTCAGCCAAATATCATGACTCTAGGCCTGTCCATTGTTCAGAAGTCGTTTGATGTGTTTGACATATATGACACATATGACCTTGAAAGTAAGTTAATGTCATTTTCATTCTCAAAATTTGTCCAGTTCCACCAAAAGAAGCTATCTGCCAAGTATCAAGATTCTATAAATTCCTTTCAGTTCTTCAGATGAAGTCGTTTGAAGCGTTTGACATATTTGACTCCTGTGACCTTGAAAGTAGGCCAAGGTCATTTTCATTCACAAATTTTGTCGAGCTCTTTCCTAGGAAGCTACCAGCAAAATTTGAAGATTCTATACCTTTCAGTTCTAAAGAAGAAGTTGTTTGAAGTGTTTGACATATTTGACCCATATGACCTTGAGAGTACGTTGAGGTGAATTTCATTTTCAAACCTTGTTGGGCTCTTTCCCAGTGAGCCACCAGGCAAATATTAAAATTCTGTACCTTTCAGTTCTTTAAAACAAGTTGTTTGAAGTGTTTGACACATTTGACCTATGTGACCTTCGAAGTAGGTCAAGGTCATTTTCATACTCAAACCTCAAACTTTGTTGGGGTCTAACCAACGAAGCTTTCAGCCATGTTGTTTAAAGGAAAAGTTGACAGATGACGACTGACGACACTCCATGTCATAAGCTGATCACTTGCCCTTTGGGCAGGTGAACAAAAAATCATGTGATGATTGTGCCACACAAATGATTGTATTGGTGCACATCTGACCAGAATCAGTGAAAACGAACCTTTACACTTTGTAGCAATAGGTATAACTGTACGGTAACTTCAGTTTTATGATAACCATGTAAGGATAACCTCCATGTTTAAAGTCTACATACCTGCTCTATGAGCTGAAAGATGATGTAAGCTGCTCCTCTGGCGACTGAGAGACTCTGTATATGAGGGGCTGCATTACCCAGTGAAAACGCACCAATCAGGACACTGAAAAATACCTGAAAAACACAGGTATCATCATCACCAGTGAGAAAATACAAATCAAACACATGTATCATCATCACCAGTGAGAAAATACAAATCATACACATGTATCATAATCACCAGTGAGAAAATACAAATCATACACATGTATCATAATCACCAGTGAGAAAATACAAATCATACACATGTATCATAATCACCAGTGAGAAAATACAAATCATACACATGTATCATCATCACCAGTGAGAAAATACAAATCAAACCCATGTATCATCATCACCAGTGAGAAAATACAAATCATACACATGTATCATAATCACCAGTGAGAAAATACAAATCATACACATGTATCATCATCACCAGTGAGAATATACAAATCATACACGTTTATCATCATCACTAGTGATAATATACAAATCATACACGTGTATCATCATCACCAGTGATAATATACAAATCATACACATGTATCATCATCACCAGTGAGAATATACAAATCAAACACATGTATCATCATCACCAGTGAGAATATACAAATCATACACGTTTATCATCATCACCAGTGATAATATACAAATCATACACGTGTATCATTATCACCAGTGAGAATATACAAATCATACACATGTATCATCATCTCCAGTGAGAATATACAAATCATACACATGTATCATCATCTCCAGTGAGAACATACAAATCATACACATGTATCATCATCACCAGTGAGAATATACAAACCAAACACATGTATCATCATCACCAGTGAGAATATACAAATCACACACATGTATCATCATCACCAGTGAGAATATACAAATCATACACGTTTATCATCATCACCAGTGATAATATACAAATCATACACATGTATCATCATCTCCAGTGAGAATATACAAATCATACACATGTATCATCATCACCAGTGAGAATATACAAATCATACACGTTTATCATCATCACCAGTGATAATATACAAATCATACACATGTATCATCATCACCAGTGAGAATATACAAATCACACACATGTATCATCATCACCAGTGAGAATATACAAATCAAACACATGTATCATCATCACCAGTGATAATATACAAATCAAACACATGTATCACCATCACCAGTGATAATATACAAATCACACACATGTATCATCATCACCAGTGAGAATATACAAATCATACACATGTATCATCATCACCAGTGAGAATATACAAATCACACACATGTATCATCATCACCCGTGACAATATACAAATCATACACATGTATCATCATCACCAGTGATAATATACAAATCAAACATATGTATCACCATCACCAGTGATAGTATACAAATCACACACATGTATCATCATCACCAGCGAGAATATACAAATCATACACATGTATCATCATCACCAGTGAGAACATACAAATCAAGCACATGTATCATCATCTCCAGTGAGAACATACAAATCAAACACATGTATCACCATCACCAGTGAGAATATACAAATCAAACACATGTATCATCATCACCAGTGAGAATATACAAATCAAGTGTGTAAGATTAAGTAAAGGATTTCACAAACTGTGTGTGTCCTTTCAAGTAGTAATATGCGAATTAGAAGTGTCATTTACTGTATACTGGGTTATTTTCACTGCAGTGTTACTTCTGCCCTTTATCCCCCTCCCCGATGAAGGCGAATTTATCATGACACAACATACACTATATAGTACGTACATGTGAAGGGAGAAATTGTCACTGGGCGAACAAGGATTTTATCAGCAAAGGGCGAATATTTGACTGGGCGGAAGTTTCCCTGTATACAGTATCAAAGTATCATAAGATCTGCGTGAAGGAGACTGAGGAGTAATGAACTCGGACAATTACATGTGCCAGGAAGACCTATGATTACTTACAATAAGGACTTTCCCAATGCTGTAACCGTCCTCTCTGACAAGCTTGGCTCCATACCAGAACCCAAGTGCATAGGAACACATCATGATGAACCAAATAGCTCCCATGGAAAGTCCACTGGTTACACCTTTCTTTATACCTATTTGCTTGGCATGTTCTAAGTTTTTGTCGTATCTAAAAAATAAATTTTTGATGTGTTGTAAGATGTGTTGTAACATAATTTTGATTAAAGCCAGTAAAACCAGCATGACATTATCATAGTCACCTTTACCTATTGATATTTCTATATGTAAATCACTTATAACTATAAATCTAAAATGTAAATAAAGTGAGCCTTATGGGATATGCATTAAACAGACTTTTTTTCATGCTGGAAATGCTGTTTAATCCGTATATGATAGCTAATACAGGTTTTACAAGATACATGATAAAAGAATATTTATTAAACGCAGAATACCAGAAACATACAAACATCAGCTCAGTAAAGCTATTTCTGCGACAAACGTTTTACAAAAGATAAGACAGGTTCTACTGGTTTGAACTGTACCTGATAAACTCTTTCCTCTGTCCGCCGAAGGCCACTACAGTACGGATTGAGCCGAGGACTTCCTCTGCCACAGCACCTGCCTTGGCGTAGGCCTTTAACTCCAGGGAAGACATCGTCCCCACCAACTGTGGTTACAACAACCAAATATCAACATAAGGTACAGTGGAACCTGGATAATTCAGCAACTTTGTATACAATGTACTAGCCTAAAGCCAAAGGCTAGTACAATCTATATTTTATGTAAGAGCTAGGCTAGTGTAAATTTTCGATATTTGCTATTACAATATTCCGTCTTTGCGTATCGCAGAGTTATCTTCTCTTGGGAGCAGGTATTGATTGTTACGTCACTTGTTTGTGAGAGAAACGTCATCATTATTGAGAAAACGACGTAATTTCTCACACAAACCAATGATGTAACAATCAATACCTGCTCCCAAGAGAAGATAACTCTGCAATACGCAAAGACGGAATAGGTCAGGCTAATACAATTTTGCAAAATCTGTCTGTAGGCTTATGCACCGCTGAGAGCTCTATGACTGGTACAATTGGCAGAAAGGTTAATTTCAAAATTATAATAAGGTTTTAAACACAAGAGGCCCAGGGGCCTTAATAGCTCACCTGATATTTCATTTTCAATTTGAAACCTGCTGGGTACCACACAGGTTTATCAAAGGAGAGCCTCAATTTATACAAATTGAGTTATTTTACCCTAAGCATGCTTCAGACCACATTTGGTTAAAATCCTTTATTTCCCCCCTAATGGGCCCATCTGCCCTAAAGAGGGCCCACAAACCCCAGCTTATACAAAATTGATTCTTTTGTCCCTAAACATGCTTCAGACTGCATTTGGTTTAAATCCCTTCACTTGTAGAGTAGGAGAAAAATAATCCTCTATTTCCCCTATTTGGCCCTGCCCCTCTGCCCCCATGGGGGCCACACTTGAGGCCCCTTTGTCCAAAGATGCTCTAGAACAACTTTGGTCAAAATCCTACTACTGTATTGTTTTAGAAGAAGATTTTGAAGATTTACCTATTTTCCTCCTATTTTTCCCCTTATCTGCCCTTAGGGGGGTCACATACTCAATTAATACAAAATTAAATTACTTTTGCCCACAGATGCTCTAGAACAGGTTTGATTAAAATACCTTCAACAGTACAAAAGGAGAAGGATCTTTAATGTTTTCCTCTATTTCCCCTAATATGCCCCAACCATCTGCCCCAAAGAAGGGGGCCCACACACCTCAGTTTATACAAAATTGATTCTTTTGTCCCTAAGCATGCTTCAGACTGCATATGGGCCATACACTCCGTTTATAAAAAACTGAGAACCCTTTGGCCAAATGCAATGATGCTCCAGACCAAATTTGGTCAAAATCCTCTGAGCCGTTAAGGACCAGTAGCGTAGCGTTTTAAAGGAAAAGTTGGAAGGACGACGGACACTGCGCCATGGCATAATCCCTTCAGGCCAGGTGAGCTAAAAATGGGAGATTATTGGATGGGGGCCAATCAGTCCTCAATATATGCATAAGCATGCCACTACCTGGGAGGGCCTAGTTCAGGCAGATACCAACCTTACTCATAACAAATCCTGTGGCAGCAAGGAGTGGACTAATGGCAAGAATAACGAGGGTCAGTTTCCAGCCGTAGTAGAAACCGATCACAAACCCGGCTAGGAAGCCTGAAAACCACTGCCAGAAAGTTCCCAACTTGTCCCCAATACCTTCATGGATCTTGTTGATATCACTGGGAGATGAAAAACAATATTTTTATCATAAACAAAAAGAAACTTTTGTTTAAGACTGATTATTAACTGCCCAAATGTATCTTTATAAAAGCTCAGTTTTCATTTTATTTCACAAAATACATTTATCATATTGAAGTAAAAACATTTTGCTGAGGCCTGCAGTGGAAAACAATCTCAATCAATGTAATGTGTGATACCTACAGCGTAATGTGTGATACCTACAGCGTAATGTGTGATACCTACAGCTTAATGTGTGATACATACAGTGTAATGTGTGATACATACAGCGTAATGTGTGATACCTACAGCGTAATGTTTGATACCTACAGCGTAATGTGTGATACCTACAGCGTAATGTGTGATACATACAGCGTAATGAATGATACGTACAGCGTAATGTGTGATACCTACAGCATAATGTGTGATACATACAATGTAATGTGTGATACCTACAGCGTAATGTGTGATACTTACAGCATAATGTGTGATACCTACAGCGTATTGTGTGATACATACAGCGTAATGAATGATACCTACAGCGTAATGTGTGATACCTACAGCGTAATGTGTGATACCTACAGCATAATGTGTGATACCTACAGCGTAATGTGTGATACATACAGCGTAATGAATGATACCTACAGCGTAATGAATGATACCTACAGCGTAATGTGTGATACCTACAGCGTAATGTGTGATACCTACAGCATAATGAATGATACCTACAGCGTAATGAATGATACCTACAGCCAAACCCAAGCCAACCAAACACTGGGTATCACAGTATCGCTATATATACAGAAAACAATATTTCCAATATATATCAGTTACAACAAATTACTAAAGCTATGACCATGTGCACTGCGCTTACTCTGACAAACGGGAATTCAGCTCCCCGGACTCATGCGTGTCAAACCACCCAATCTCCTGGCGAATTACATTCCTGAAGAATGCTTGTCGGATTCTGTGTGACTGACGCTCGGCAGCGATGGCCCAGAAGGTGACTTGACCATACCCCGCGACGAGCACACCACCACCAATAACTGAAAACATAAAGGACAGTTTGTGTCAAAAGCATAATAACTAAACACACTAAATCATACACGATGAAATAAATCTCTTAATATTCACGATGGACATTCTGTTTGTAAAGAATGCTATGTACGAACATTTTAAAATACACCAGTTACTTGCAATTGGAACAATAGCCGTTTATCCCAATGACAAAGACAGCTTTTAACGTCATGCTCCACTATTATGGGTATCAATCTGACACATAGGGATGGAAAGATACAGAACTTTTTTCTTTCTTATATCATACCATTTTAGACAATAAGTGCCACATTTTAGAATGTTCAACTAACTCGAATGATGTAGTAATTAATAGCATACATACTGATATAATAGATGGCGAAGGTGCCCATCTTTTCGAGGAGATCGTTCTGTAGCTGGTAGTCGAGTTGTGGTAGGTAGGAACTGATGTTACTCACATTCTGGTATTGTCTGTGACATAGAAACGGTAAATAATATTAACCAACACATAATCCTGAGGAATATAATAGTACAAATTGGAATGTTATTACTCGGAACATTTATGTTGCAGAAAAATATATCCATAATAACTAAATTAATGAAACAGGATTCATCAACGACAAGTATTAAAATATTTTAATTTCAGATTGCACCAATTTGATATAAACTAAATAAAACATTGATGTAATGCCCCTCATTTCTTTTGCCAAACTTGCCACTACCAATGTGATTTCAAAAAATCTTTTTTTCTTTCTTCTTAAGGTCATAGTTTGTGTCACCATTTCTCAGTAGAATTTCTTGAAATTTTGTAGTTATATTGCTTTGAAGTAAAGAAAATGTTCTGCCACAAATAATATAGGTTTTCAGAATTTTAAGGATTTTAACTGGAAATTTATGTAAAAAAGAGTGAACGTTGAAAAATTATGAAAGAAACATTTTTTTGCAAAATAATGTCAATAAAAATGATACTGCCATAGGTTAGTACTATGCATTAATGTATATCAATTTAATAAATGCTGAAATTGTGTAAAATAAATTATCTATAAACAATTAAAAATTGACATTTTATAATAAAACCATATACACATTATTATTATAAGTAATTGCATGTAAGAGTTATCTTTCTTGAAAAACTTCACAGTAGTGAAATAGGTAGGCGGTTTCCTGAAGTACAGAAAAATGGACACATGTGAATCATTGATAAAATAAACAACTGAATTAATGCCTGGATTGCTTTGAAATACTTTAATATTGAGAGAACACACTGTTCTGTCAATAATAAACATACAATATTCATCACAACTCTAGACTCATTAGAATATGCGGAAATTGTGATACTGTCTCCCTACATTGGATTTTCAACTAGGGATGTACTATCGATTCCCCTTGATGTCGAAACCCCTTTGTATTGCCAATATTTGTTGGACAGACGATGGCTAAGTAACAAGGTTTTACTGTAGTCTATTTGTATAATGCAGTCAGAAGATCTAGTAGAATGGTAGGTTTACCTGTAACTGTAACATTTAACTTGTATTAACAAACTAGTGATGAATCAGAAACTGTCAATCACATAGGTTTCAAACATACTTAAATTCAGGACTGTTTTCAGTCAAGTCGATAGTTATGAGGATTAAAGTTTGTATAAAGAACACTTGTTACAGGTTACTTGCTTAATTTTGTCTGCTGAATTTACAACGCTACATTTGAAATTGCAATCAAACAGTGCTAGTGAATTAACACAAAATTCTTTATATTGTGTAAGATATGAGAATTTCCGGTAGTTATTCTAATTCAATAATTAAATCACAATCAAAACTGCTTGCAAATTAACTCGTAATTTTAATGATATATTAATAACTTCTAGAACCTTTACAATGCATACCTGAGTAACTCTGGGTTAGAGAACGCTTCATCCCGAGTAAAGGACAGTGTGTACCCCATAGCTGTAAGGATAGCTATGATGGAGTCTACAGCAGTACTGTACAGGCCAGAATTTACAAACAGATCAATCATGTCTCCAAACACAATGATCATTCCCGGCAGAGCGACACCATGACAACAGGCTAGCAACGTCCCAAGAATCATCAAGAATACATCACCACATGTGGCGAACTTAAACTGCAACAAGCAAAGCCACCATTAGCAGAATGTTTATCAGGTAAAAAAATATATATGATAAACCTCAAGTCCAGTCGAACAAAATGAAATAAATATTGTTGAATCTGTTTGAATTACATGAATTATAGCCTCAAAAACCAGAAAAACAGAAAGTAGGTAAAATGATGACAATGAATCTGTTGACAAACAAGAGGCCCATAGGGCCTGTATCGCTCACCTGGATATCTAAGCTTTCATGGCAAAATATTCTCCAAATGAGATCCAAGGGAATATGCCAGACCCCAATGCCAATCCTTGTAGCATATCTGTATTAGATTTTTCATGCCCAGCAATTTTATGTATGTATATATAGTTTCGGGGTGGGGATCACAACCGTTTCAAAGTTATGACCCAGGCGTTAAGTCTGCAAGGGTGGGGCAGACACTGGGGTCAATTCTAATATCATGACTGCATTCGTCTCTTTATGCCGTATAATTGTAAATATAGTTTTGGGGTGGGATCTTAACAATTTCGAAGTTATGACCAAGGGGTTAAGTCTCCAAGGGTAGGGCAGTCCCCAAGGCCATCCTGGAAGCATATGTACATTCATCTCTTTATACTCAGTAATTGTATATATGGTTATAGGGTGGGGATCTCAACTGTTTCCAAGCTGTGACTAAGAAACTAAGTCCCTAGGGGTTCGGTCAGACCCTAGGGTCTATTCTAATATCATGACTGCATTCGTCTCTTTATGCCCAGCATTTGTATATATATAGTTTTGGGGTGGGGATCTCAACACTTTTAAAGTTATGGCCCAGGGACTTTGTCTCCAAGGGGGGGGCCAGACCCTAGGGCCATCCTGGAAGCAAATGTGCATTGTTCTCTTTATACTCAGCAATTGTATATATGGTTATATGGTGGGGATCTCAATCATTTCTAAGTAATACACTTTTTTTGGTCCCACCCCTTAGCCCGGGGGGTCAGCCCAACCATTTGTACATTTTTGAATCCCTGCCTCCCATGAATGCTTCTGACCAAATATGATTGATATCCATGGCATAGTTCTACAGAAGAAGTCGTTTATAGCAATATAGCCAAATTGCCCCCGCCCCTCCGCCCCTGGGTGGTCAGCCCAACCATTTGTACGATTTTTAATCTCCACCACCTAGGGATGCTTCCAGTCAAATATGGTTGATATCCATCTCTTAGTTCCAGAGAAAAAGTCACTTAAAGCAATATAGCCAAATTGCTCCCTTTTTGCCCCGCCCCTCAGCCCCCTGGGGGGTCAGCCCAACCATTTGTACAATTATTAATTTCCACCACCTATGGATGCTTACAGTCAAATATGGTTGATATCCATCTCTTCGTTCAAGAGAAGTCGCTTAAAGCAATATAGCCAAATTGCCCCCTTTTTGCCCTGCCCCTCAGCCCCCTGGGGGGTCAGCCCCACCATTTGTACAATTTTGAATCCCCACCACCTAGGGATGATTCCAGTCAAATTCAGTTAAATTCCAATCAGTGGTTAAGAAGAAGAAGTCATTTAAAGAAATTGTTGACGGATGGACGGCGGATGGACGGCGGACGGACGCCGGACGCTAATAAAAATGGTTGACCTAAAAACAGCAACAGTGACATTGGCGTTGACATTGGCGTTGACCTTGGTAGCGTGACATATGAACTAATGTGAGATATTCTCATACTTGACCTGTTTAGAAACGAAGTCGGTAGAAATCTGACAATAAAATTGCAATAGGATGGGACAGACATATGGGTAACCACAATATCCCCCCTAACCCCATTTACGGATTACTTGTTTCAGTATTCTTTATTAACTTCCGTACTGATAGAAAGTCACATACTGTTGGGGCTTCACTTAGCACACATGTGGCTATGTTAAGGAAAGAAACTGAATCAACACTAACATGTCACATACCTATATAAAATGTCACAGTTGGCTTCCATTGCCACAACATCAAGTTCATCATGAGTACAGCCCTCGTTACCCCAACGTTAAATACTGCTGACATGAATATTGACTAGTCTAAGTGAGTTTCATGAGGCTGTTATTTCAATGTCAACAGCCTAACTCGTACATCAATAATTCCCTTATTTAAAGTGGGCGTAATCAACTGTTTGTTTGAACAAAATGAAATGTAGTTAAATACGAAAAAGGAGGGTTCAGCCATGTGCCTGACCATAGCCTATCCCCTACCTCCCATTTATAGTTATAGTGGCCTTGACCCAAGACATTTGAAACCCACCTCCACAAATACATAGGTGGTTACATTTGTTTCTCACCAACTGCCCCATCTCCATCAATACATGATGTCTTGGTCCATATCGGGAAAATTGGGAACAAAACAAGGCAAACTGGGAATTTTAATGATGTTATTGTGACAAGAGTTGATACAACCAAGTCTGGAAGAAAGGAGTCTAATATACATTGACTTATTACAAAGTTAATCTGTCTGTAGCTTACAATTTCAAACAATCCCACCATCTTGGCCTCTTCTTCATCCTTCTTTTCTTTATCATCTGTATCAGTTGATGTTCTTGATTTTGCCGAATGTTTGTCATTAGAAAACGCAACCTTATTGAGGTCAACAGATGACTTTCCATTGGCCTGTGCAGCTTCATCCTCCGAATCTATTTACAGCACAAGATATAATTAGACTATATTACAATCATACATTTACAGTTTACCATGTTATTATGGTACAGTTTTATATATTCTGAACTATCTGCAATTTTACCATGGAATTTCATATAGGGTCCTATTTGTCTAGAACTTCTTATAATACTAATGATTAACTGAAAAAAAAATCAGATGGTAGCCATATGGAAGCGCATGTAATACAAAAGAATGCGAGGAATATTGTTTGTACAAATGACGTAGACTACGTGATTGTTAGCCGAGAATTCCAAACAAACCTGACTTTGCCTAGCAACTATCTAAGCTTACAACTTGATTGTAGGGCATTGATCCAATACAGAAATGATAATGAAAACTGATCATTTGGAATATACCACTTTTCACCTGAGCTGTGAGAACTGTGAATCGAACATGAATCTTAAAATGTCTAAAATAAACACTACAGAACTAAATCTGGAAGGTCGGAATCGTAAAATATCTACACTATAGAAGTGTCTATAAGTGCACATGTACCGACAAACATGTGAACATTTTAACTCGGTCAAAATATAGATCCCTTCGCTTCAGATAATTTGGTAACTACACCGTATTCTATTATAATAATCTCTGACACCTACTCGAACCCTATGCAACAAGGTAAATATTGTTCTTTTTTTAAGCTGATTATGTCTGGGACTGTAAGGATCAATGCCCCATTAGGTACCCTAGCACAGGATTATCAACTTGACAGATGTATTGACAGGTGCTGGTGAGAAAAAAGCCCAGTATGCATATACATTTCAAAACCGATGTTCTTTATATATATGAATTGTTAAAGAAAATTTAAAATCACAGTTTTGGGGAAAAATCTGAAAATTTCCATAATTAACGTTTTCTGTCTGAAGGGATAATTTTAAATCCCTAGAGGTACAGTTTTATTTTTAAGATTCACTATTTTTCAAAAAAGATATACATCAAGTTATCGTTAAGCTAATCAGACTTTGTACAATGGCTTAATCAATACATAACTAGAAAGTCCTATTTTGATACTGTGAGCTTAAGGTCAATAGAATTCACCATGAACATGCATGTATGTAAATTGCCCACCTGGTACATCACATGGTACATGACTATGAATAAATACAAATAAAACTTCTGCATTCTGACACCCTGGCTAATCGAAGCAAATTGATGGATCTTACAGGATGTTGGATTAGGCAGGTTTCACTGTAAAAGACCATGGCTAACAAAAACATCCATACATAAATCGTATGAAGTTGCAATATAGAACCTGCTGCATCAGTGAAGAATAAAAATATTTTTATCAGAAAAAAAAAATTGCTTAAACATTTTGAAACAAGAGGCCCAAGAGGGCCTGTATCGCTCACCTGAATATTTAAGCAGTCATAGCAAAATATTCTAATTAAATATTATATTGCACTAAAAATATTTCCCTCGCAAACTTTGTTGGCTCCATCTGTTGAAACTACCAGCAAAATATTATTATAAGATTCTATGCTTTTTGATTCTTCTTCAGAAGCTGCTTGACATATTTTTCCCTGTGATCTTGTAAGTAGGTCAATGTCATTTTCCTTTCAAATTGGTTAGCTCTATTCCAAAAAGCTACCAGCCAAATCTTATGAATCCATTCCTTTTAGTTCTCAAGAACAAATCCATTAAAATGTTGTTGACCTCTGTGACCTCTAAAGTAGGTTGAGGTCATTTTCATTTGCAAACTTTGGTGAGCTCTATCCCGGGAAGTCACCAGCCAAATATTATAATTTTATGCCTTTTAATTCTTCAGAAGAAGCTGTTTGAACTGTTTGACATATTTGAACGCTGTGACCTTGAAAGTAGGTCAAGGTCATTTTCATTCGCAAACTTTGTTTGGCTCTTTCCCAGGAAGCCACCTGCCAAATATTAAGATTTTATAACTACCAGTTCTTCAGAAGAAGTCGTTTAAAGTGTTTGACATATCTGCCTCATGTGACCTTAAAAGAAGGTCAAGGTCATTTTCATTCTCAAACTTTGTTCGGCTCTTTCCTAGGAAGCTACAAGCCAAATATAGAGATTATATACCTTTCAGTTCTTCAGAAGAAGTCGTTTGAAGTGTCTGACACATTTGACTCCTGTGACCTTGAAAGAAGGTCAAGGTCATTTTCATTCTCAAACTTTGTCGGGCTCTATCCAAGGAAGCCATCAATCAAAAATAAAGATTCTATACCTTTCAGTTCTTCAGAAGAAGTCATTTGAAGCTTTTGACATATATGACCCCTGTGACCTTGAAAGTAGGTCAAACTAGTTTTCATTCTCAAACTTTGTTGGGCTCTATCCCAGGAAGCCACCAGCCAAATATAAAGATTATATACCTTTCAGTTCTTCAGAAGAAGTCGTTTGAAGTGTTTGACACATTTGACCCCTGTGACCTTGAAAGAAGGTCAAGGTAATTTTCATTCTCAAACTTTGTTGGGCTCCATCCAAGGAAGCCATCAGCCAAATATGAAGATTCTATACCTTTTAGTTCTTTAGAAGAAGTCGTTTGAAGTTTTTGACATATTTGACCCCTGTGACCTTGAAAACAGGTCAAGGTCATTTTCGTTCTCATACTTTGTTGGGATCCTACCAACGAAGCTTTCAGCCAAATATCATGACTCTAGGCCTGTCTGTTCTTCAGAAGAAGTTGTTTAAAGGAAAAGTTGACGGACGAGGACGGACGGACGACGGACGCCGCGCCACGGCATAAGCTCACTTGGCACTTCGTGCCAGGCGAGCTAATAAAATGATATATAAGCAAATCGAACAAAAATAGAAATCCTATAAATATAAAACTTTATACAATACATTTAATAAGAGGCGACATCATATAAATATAAAACTTAATACAATACATTTAATAAGAGGCGACATCGGATACAATTGGTATACATTGCTGCAGATTATAGGTTATTGTAAATATTTACTCTGAGAAATTTAAAACCATGTAAATATTGTATATATAACTGTTGTTTCACATGCAAAATTGAAATACATATACAAAATATACTATATTTTATATATATATATAAAGCAAGGAAAATTTCAGCATTTCTTGCATAGTCGTTAATTATTTACCCTAAAATCTTTATCTTAAAGTTTAATTGGTTTCTGGAAAGTTGAAAAATTCCAAAAATACTGTCATGTTTTGATCACTTCGTAAGACAATAAATACACAAGTGATAATCCGACAACAAACCTGGTTATGTAGCAAGGACATTTACCTGATCAGGTCACAACCTTATCAGATTCTGGTTGAACCCAAAAAGAATTCACCTCCTTAAGGTTATGACCTTACATAGGGTCAAAACACAGAAATTGAGTAGTTTAATGGTTCAAAGTAGCGAACAAAGGTCAAGGTTAGGATTTAAGGTCAAGACCTTACACAGGGCTGAGTATGTCTGGAAGCAGGAAACGAGTAAAACCAGGTAAGATAGGTCATATCGAAGAAAGAGTATTTTTACTTCTACTTGACTAATACCTGGAAGCAAAGGGAGAGAAGGCTGAAGTACAAATAGAACATTACGAAAGGTGAAATTAGACAAAATATTAGACAGTAACAGACATTAATATCCACAGAGTACCTGCATGTTTTAATAATTACTTCAGGCAAGATGATTTTTACTTCTTCAGTGCAAGGCACAAAATAACACCTGTACATATTTATGGAGTGTACGTACATATGTGTTAATTTCATACCATCACAAACAAAAATCAAAGCATTACAGTAGAACTTCAAGATTTTGCAAAAACCAGTTAGAGTCACCATTTTTTTCCCCAAGCTATAGATCAGAGAAAAGAATTAGATGTTTTGATTTTTCCATTTTGAAGTTGTCAAAGATTTCATGTGATATTGACAGGTATAAAATGCAAAACATGGATTTAGAATAGTGCAAGTGGATATCTGTCACAAACAATATTATGATTTTACGATACAGCAATACACTATTGGCTAGCGGTATGATTATCATCTACAGGTGTATATAACATTATCATCGGTTAGATATACAATTCACTTAAAGCTAGGACTACAACTACAAATTTAACTTATTAAATGTACCCGTTGCAACAGTGTATTTTTAATGCAATAATCTGTTTATATGCATATCATTCAAATATTTGAAATATGATCACGAAGCAGACATATTAAGCAAAACTGAGAATAAAATTATAAATGAATTTGCAAAAAATTAAATATGAAACTCGTTAACTGTGAATAAACACTATAAAAAACACTACAAACATTTTCATTTAATATATCACAAATTTTTATGCATGTGATGCAAACATTTAACCTAAAAATCAACTGGAATCTATTTTTAATTTAATTTTCTGATGTAATTTTCAGTTGATGTGGCTATTATGATCAATACCATCCCTACACATTGTGACACACAAACAGAAGGAGATGCAATGTTAGCTACAAAACATGCCCAACTGAAAACCTACCTTTGTGCCCTACTTTGCCATTGCTGGGCTGTGGGGCTGTAATTTAAAGTCACATTGACCTGATGCAAATATCAAAGCTCCATCATCCAAGTCAAATTTATACAATTGTTTTTTAACTTATTATTTACCTTCTAATGCAGAAGACCAAGGAGATATTTCAGTCATTTACAATTCAAAATTAAATATTTTTGAAGACAAAACAAATTATCAAAAACAATTGTTTTAAGATTATCTATGTAATTGAGATTGAAATAATAACTTTTTTTCATTTTGATTTATGACCAATATTAGTTCAGAGCAAAGTATCATGAAGTTTAATTAAGTGTATAATCCCTTCTCAAAGATCCCACATGTGTACAGACCGGCTCTTCATCATATAGAGCCAAGAAAATAGAGGAAACGTACAGAAACCTTTGCACCCAGTTTAAGTGTAACCTTATGTGACAGAAGTTCACTTTGACACTATATATAAGGCAATGAACTCACAGCAGAATTTAACAAACATGGTACGTTACCTCACTGATCATGTCATTACAATACCAGAAGTGAACCAAAACATGCGTTTGCTGTATGTTTGCCAACAGACAATGAAAATTTTGCACCCATTTGACCTTTGACCAAGAGATGAAGGTCACAAGGACCTAAACAACATGCTCTGTGTACCCTCTGTGGGTGATGTATGTATGTTTTAAGTGTACTCGTGATATTTTCAATTATTTTAAATTTAAATTCCATACAGGATTTATTATGTTATAATGATATCAAAATGTTATTATGATATAAAAAGAACCAGAGCAAAAAGAATTGCACTGGGTATTTATATATCAGCTATATGTAACTGCAAGTGTGGCTGATTCCAGATTTTACAACGGCTGCACGTGCTCATCTGCCTGCTTATGTAAACATAGCACCCACACAGAGAACCTAACTTATATACCATGGTCTTAGGTTTTGTGGAAGCCCTTCCATCAAAACAGGATAGGTGGGGAACTTTCCCATGTAACTTTGAGCAGACAATGTTTATTTCAATTTTGGTAGTCTGACAAATGGGAGAACTACTTGTGTGGAAGAACATTTACTAGCTGAAGTTTCAAATGAACAATGAAGATTGATGTACTGTGTAGAACTCTTTGGTGATTGAACTCTGATAGAGTTTGCTATGTTTACCAGCAGGGTCTAGTTGTCAGTGTTCATATTATGCTGATGGCTCAGGCATAACAAGTTGGCAGCCCAGGTAGAATTAATAAGTATAACAAGTTACCTGCCCTTTCTGTGAATTAGTTCTTTAAAATAGCAACAGGTGGCAGCAGTCAAGATGATGTGACTCACAACTGCACCAACAGCTAACCTAACACCACTCTTTAGTCAAACTGAGCAAGAAATCAAGGCAGTTAATTCTCAGCAACCTATAGCTAGATCTCAAGATACATCTGCTATGCGATGTATGGTATCAGTTTAAGGAATTTTAAGTTACATCATTAAAATGTAAAATCTGTGACAATATATTTTTATTCACTGTCGCCATAAATAAATCTGTAAAAAGAGCTGTAATTCATTTTTCAAAAACAAAAAATGTCACTGATAAGGAAGGTCTACTGTATAGTGCATTGTTTGGTTTTGTTAAACATATCACATATCTTTGTTAGTATTCCCATAAACAGAATTTTGCCCTTCTCACTGTTTGTTGGGCCTCAGATAGTCGGGACATTGACACATAAAGCAGTTAGAACCCACTCGGGTAAAATTACCATGCCAAAAAATAAATAATGTGAACAAAGTTGAAATAAAAAATCAGCTTTTCAAATACTGCAGTGCTATATTTAGAATAAATAACAACAGATTCTCCTTCTATTATAATTTTAGATATTGAAATTCCTGATGAGATAACGTTGTAGATTACACAAATTCATATTATATGCATAAATTTCCATGAAGGTATTTTCTAAAGGTGAAAATATTCACCTATGTATCCATTTTAAAAGTCAATATTTCGAATAAAAACTTATCTGACTGCAAAGATAGTTTCTGAAGAGCTGATCATACTATTAGGGAAAAATTATAGGTACAAAAATATCTGGTTTGATAATCAGAGATAAATCCTTGGCTATATCCTACAGATTATACAGATGTGAACCTACATAGCTGAAACAGTGATGAAAGATCCATACATAAAGCTTCCAGAATCAGTTCAACCACGTATCGGTAAAAATAATAAATTTGAAATTCAGGGGAGATCATTAACAGACAGTAAGCTGTACTTACCTGCAGAGTATTTAACAGGGAGTTGGCCATTTGAGTTGGGCCCTGAAGAATGGTTGTTGGCATCTAAAATGAGGGAGAAAAAACAAACACATTCACCAACATGCAACTTCATGCAAATCCATAAGCACATTTATGCCATCAACACAAAAAGCACAATAGTCTACTAACAACACGTAATATCTATCACATGGCCGGCCCAGGCTGTCATCAACCAATATTACCATATACTCATGCATTGCCATGTTATTTTATATATCTGTGAAGCAATGCAACAGCGGATAGTTTATAAGGAAATCCCAATAATAAAGTATCCTTATGGAAACAAATGATCAACAAATATAAACATTTCTTCTAGTCTTTTTGCCTAAAAATCAATACATGCATATGTGCAAATGCATTCATTGGGTCTCTCAACATAGGTGGTCTCTTAACATTAATAGAGGTGATATGTTGCGCAATCAGACATGACTGTATACATTTATAATGTTGCTCTTTAGAAAATTGATACCGTAAACTTGGATTCCTCAAGAGACAAAAATGAACTTAAAAATGTACACAAGTTTTGATAAGTTTGATATAAACCACATTTATTTTTTAACGAACTACTTGAATTGATATACATATAAATGATATTGTTTCTTGTAAACTTATAAAAGTCAAATGGACTTAAGGCTGTGGATGTCGTACTTACATCTGTTGAAAAAACATTAAACACACCTTCCCCTTCACCTGGCATTGCCATGAAGATGAAGTATAATCAAGATCATTCAAATTTAGGATATGTAATATCTATCTATCCTGAAATCTTAGGCCAATTATAAGTTTCATAAAACAAGTGATTCTGATATGCCAGTGAACATATATTCATCAATAGGGTCTGTCTGGGTATGTATATATGGCATGGGTTGGCCAAGATATCAAAGGAAAATATTTTCAAAAATATATGCAAAGATAGACTTGACAACAATAAGATTCCACAAAGAAAATGTGAAGCAGAAGAAAGTATGGAACAAAACTGCAAATGTAAACTTTTTAGTGGTAGCCGCATTTTCAAGATTTAAAAATAAAAACCTCTGAAGAAATAACTTCAATTCATAGCAAAAATGCTGTAAATTACATTGAAACCATACAATCACATTGCAATAAAATGTATCGACTCTTAACATGTTTAAGTCTCATAATGTTGGTAGTATATGACACATCCTGGCATTTTAATAAGGGAGAAATACCTGTGTTATCTAACAACCTTAAAATCTTATTGAGTAGCAATGAACAGGTAGCGGATCAGGTAAGTTTGCACCTGGCTTCATTAAAAGCACCACACATGCAGTAGACTGCTGAGGAAATAGTAGAGGCTCAATTATTGCACCTTGGCTTTATTAAGTGGAGACAACTCTATTTAAACAATTTAGAAATAAAAGATGTTTCATCCTTGTTAATTAACTAACCTACAATTGCCAGTATGTAAAGTATACTTTGTGAAAGTATTGACTATGAAAATTTAAGTGAGTGTGTTTTTCGTAAACCTGATTAAGTGAACTAAATGCTCACTAGATCACTGTCACAGTAAATGCACTTTGGACGTGACAGAATAAATACATGCTTTTACCTCTGGGCCCGTATTTATGAAACCGTTCACTTGCTCAAGCATGGATTTTGTGCTCAAATCAGCTCTATTGTAACTCAATAAAACCATGTCAAATGATCAAATAATTAAATGTAAACATTGAAACAGTATTCATCTTAAAGTCTCTTCATTTTATTCCCAAATCATTGATAAAATAAGATTTTTTTACTTATTTATAACTGGAACAAGAAATGGGGCTGGAGCACAAAATCAATACTTGAGCATGAGAAAGGATTTGTGAATACGGGTCCAGAGGTAAACAAAGGCTATTGATGATTCAGTCCGGTTACTTTTAAAATCTGGACCCATCAATGTGCACATGTATATGTTACTGCTTCCAAGTCTATTTTCATATTTTAAAATATACATGTAACCTACCATAACCTAATTATATATATATGTAATGGACTGATGAAACAACTATGTGACTTCAGAAAGCACCAAAGTTTAACATATGGGAATCATAAAATTGCCAAATTGGACATGTCAAAATGTAATCATCCTATTTGGTGCTTTGGTTGGCATTAAACATATTTTGTCCTATCAAAAGTAGCCGCTTAAGGCTGCCGAAAGTAGAAAATGATCTGATTTTGGCGCAGAAATTCCTCATCCAAACAATGTAATTTGTTTGGAGATCATGAGTCATTCTGATGTCATAGTCAAGTGATGACTGATCACATCACTACTCCAGTCTGGGATGAGTTGGAGGTCTTGTTGTCCACGATGATAATCAAGTATTAAATATTAGGATGGATCGACAGGTTGTCATTTAAACAGCTAGCCTCTTTCTAAACTATATGCCAGCCGGTTCAGGTTATTTGAACAGGAAACATCTTTCGATAAAGTCTTTACTACAAGTGTACTTATATACCTGTCTGAACATACAGCCACAGGTATATACACCTACTTATATACGTGTTGCAACATATCCATAAAACAAGGAGGTATATGTGTGTGATAAACTGTCAGTATAGTTAGTATACCTTGATCACAAGAATGTACACTGTGATACTGTGAAAAAGTAGGTCAACTAAAGCTTTCAAACTAACAGAGCTTTGAATCTTACATCCTGACCTATTTTGAGAACTTTGACCTATGTAGGCTAAAGTCCTTATACCATTTTTAAATACCCCAGACAAAACTTCACCATCCCTTAAAATTTACATCTGAGCTAGCTACTACTTCTAATATATTGTTAAAGCTTTTGAGAATTTTCACTATTCTATGCATTTAAACCTTTGTCAGATAAACATTATCACTGAAATTAAAGCCATGTAGTCAAATAGCTATTAAAAAATGTTTCCATGTATATCTACCGGTATTCTAATTGTGTTAAAAAAATTCACGAGGTGACGATTCTCATCTAATTTCAAATATCCCCTGAATCTTGAAATTGGAGAATGAAGTTTTGACAGACAACACAGGTTAATAGTTAAATTTGTTGAGTGTTAACCAAGTTTAAGTTTCAGGAACACAAGGCAATCATTATAGCCTTATATAGGCAGCATTATAAACACCTTAAATGTTATAGCCTTATATAGGCAGCATTATAAACACCTTAAATGTTATGCTTATCTCCTGGAATGATCAATACGGATGTGACAGGTGATTCAATACAGGACACCATATAATGCTAGTACACTTAAGGATCCCTGTCCCACTGTAACAGGCAAAACACTAGAGAATTCCACTGTTTCATACAGAGTTACTTCCCCTTAATTTTGTTTTGGATATAACTGTGATGTCTGTATCATGCTCATTTGGTTAGAGTAACAATATAACGATCTCAGGTTCAGAGTTGTAATATACCTGTCTGGCACCATCATATTTTAACACTTAAAACACTGTTGTTAAATATTTGTTTCCCCATTAAGTTGCATAACATATATGGTTTTCTTTATAAATGTGATTGATCAAAGCTATAAATGTGATTGATCAAAGCTATAATCATGCTGTAAAAAGCTTTTAAGTTACTGTCACAGTTTTTGGCAGTGGTACGGGGATCCTTAAGGCAGAATATTAACCCCTAAAACAACCATTGTTTCGTGGTATGTCACCTGAAAATTTCACAACAACGAGGCATTGTGTGTCGGGAAACAATGTCTCGACACTCGCAAGAATTCACTGTACACCAAAATGTATGCAAAAATGCTAATTTTTATTCCCTTTTCATCTTATTTTAGATATCATATATATTTACCACATGATCTTGTGATGTAATTTTAGAATATGACAAAAATGCCAATAAACATACAAAAGAAACAAATTTCAATATGCTTATGTGTAATATTAATACACAAGTCGGGTACTAAAGCACTAAATAATGTCTACTGTTTAACCCTGCAGTCATTGTGGTATGTCCTGTACAAGTGCTTGAATCCTTCACAGTTCAGTGGAGATCCTATCCAACACTACACACTGAAATGTTGCCTTTTAAATCTTAATTACAGTTAACTGTGTCGAAGTGTTATGTACAACATCCATATTGTGTCCCATAAAATGTAATATAATTTAGGGGTATTTGACAGATATTGTATCTTAGTGGTACACTTTTACTAACCATACACATTCAACTGTCTTATTTTGCTTTCTTATTTACCATAAACAAACATACCAGGATAAAAGAATCATTATTTGTTTAACGGGAATGACTGGTATGACCACTATTTAATACACTGTATTAACAAGAAAGTATTAAAAATTTAATGAAGTCCATGAAGGTCTTTGCCAAGTATTAATAAAAAAAAAAGTTTACTGGCCAACTGTGGTCATACAGTGTATGACCTGTGTATGCTTATACGTTAAATATTTTAAGAACACTATAATACCCAGTCTAGCTCTATTATATTGTAATATGGATGCATGCACATTCAGAGCTGCAGTCTCACTTAATCAAAGGGAGAGTTTTCCATGATTTGAAGGGGGCTGCCTACATTGGGCCCCTAAGAGGGGTCATTTAGTGGTTTAAATTAATTCATTTACCCCTGAAAACACATTTGAACTCTTCCAATTTAAAGGTTGGAATAGTCCATTATAAAATTTCAGGGGTGAATGAGTTAAATCCTTTCCGACCAATTTAACTTCTGTTGATTAGTTTTTGGATATTATCATAACCTAAAAATAATTGAAATCCATAATACTCAAAGTATCTAAAAGAAGGTTTTTTTCCAGATTGTCTATTTCATTCTGTATCAAATAGTATTTTTACATGAGCTAGTAGCTGTGAAAGCTGTACATAATTACTGTCCTGATATTCCAAGATTAGAGCTCATTATTTATTCATAACACCTGACAACATGTATCAAGTTACAGTACCATGCATGTGATCAGAACTGTCCATGTGACCATATAAGCTTGTAGTTTAAGTTCTATAGCAGGAGAGAACATACAATAGGTACCAGGTTGAGTAAATACGGGTATGTTAGATTATATATCT